TTTACTAGCTTTTAAGTGCCTTCTGAGAAAAATGGTAAGATTCAACAGAAGTAGTGGAAAGATACTGGAAAGTACTGATACACAGCTCTGAGGCAATTTGATATTCTTCTACCAGCCTAGATATTATTTCAGAAATTTCCTTTAAATTGGCCCAGATGTCTATGTTTTTTGTTCTCTCTCTGCATATGGTAAATTGGAAATTAATAAAAGTATTTTTGAAAACTAGAGACTATTTTGTTTAGCATATTTACCACATAAGTGGTTTTTCTTTACATAGATTCATAAGTTTTATGGTTAGATTGAGCCTTACTGTTGAATTTTTTCTAATTTAATGTCTTGTTATATCAAAGACCATTTTATCTTTATTTCTCTGTAATTATTTGTGTTAAATTTAGACTTGAAATGAATTCATGCAGAAATCATCAAATTATAGAACTGTGCACATCAATATAGTAGATTACTAGTAAATCAGGGAGCAGCCCTGATTGCCAGTAGTGTAACATCATCACTTCAGTTACTACTGAAGGACAAGTACAAAAAAGAAGGAAAGACAGGACGAGCCTGGTGGCTCAGCCTGTAATCCTAGCACTGTGGGAGGCTGAGGCAGGTGGATTGCTTGAGCTTAGGAGTTCGAGACCAGCCTGTGCAAAAGTGAGACCCCCATCTCTACTAAAAATAGAAAAACTGAAGCAAGAGGATCGCTTCAGCCCAAGAGGTGGAGGTTGCTGTGAGCTATGATGCCACAGCACTCTACCCAGGGCAACAGCTTGAGACTCTGTCTCAAAAAAAAAAAATTTAAAAAAAGAAAGAAGGAAAGATAGACATGAAGAAAAGGAGTGAGGGAGCAGAGAAAAGGAAGAAAAAGAGAACAGACAAGAGAAATCTCAGGAGAGGAGCTTCTGGGGAAGACTGATAGGACAGCACCTGCAGTTGCCAGACAGTACAGCCAGTGCCACATGCATTCATTCAACACTGAGCTGGCCCTGGAGGGGATGGTGATGAATTAACACCACAGTTCCTGCTCTCATGGCTGAGGACAGATAAATACTCAGAGAAGTCACTCTGTTAAATATTTGATTATGATAAAATGTAATAAGTTAGGGCAAGTACAGAGCACCAGTTGTTTTCAAAAGCTACTATTAGAAGTATGAAGTCAACCTACTTGTTTTCAAAAGCTACTATTAGAAGTATGAAGTCACACTCTGTCTTAGAGGGTCTGCCCTCTAAGAACTGTTCTCAGTTCTTTTCAAAGGAAGACACACCACCCTCAACATTGTAAAGGACCATGTTCTTAGTCCTGTTTAAAAACAAAAACTCCCGTTAAGAAAGATTAATATGATTAAGCATAGTACCTCAGTGTTCTAAATATTGAATGGGAAGAGGAACAGTTAATACTTTAAGAAAATTTTTATGAATTAGTTCCACTTCAGGAGGTGATGGGTTTCTCTTCTCATGAAATAGTCAAGCAAAGACTAGGTGACTTTCAGAGATGTACAATTAACTTCTGTGAGTGGGAGTTTGGATTAGGTGACTTGGATGTGCTGTGAGTCAGAATTTATAGCCAGACTTGTACTTCTAGTACATTCTTCCTGTTAGATTTGGAGAAGCAGCTTAATTGCTATTAACTACTTGTCTTTGTTGCTGATTAGTCCGTAATTGTTATTTTATTGATTGCAGATGGGGCAACTGTATGTATAGATTTTCTTTTTAAGCATACCACAAATGTGTAGGTTACTGTGCCAGGGCACTTAGGCTAGTTCTGGGATTTTAAGCTGATGACTGTCATTATA